AGAAATAAATCAGGGAAAAGAATTAGAAAAATTCTTTAGAAAAAAATTAGAAAAAAAAATCTTAAACGGTATCAGTGACATCTTGTGATGAAGCTTGGTATGGCAATTTGTTATTTCCTAAAAAGAGACTTGGCTCAGAGCCCAGAACATAGATAAGATTTTCCTTACCTTGGCACCATCTGTGAGTGATTCAACTGTAAGAGAACAACTGGGCAGTAAAATTGGCCTTCTTGAACTGTGAATGTAAACTTTTACTGACTATTGCTTAACAAACAACTTTTATTAGAAAGATTATTTACAAACAGGTGAAAGATGGATGAAGAGCAGGAAAAAAATCTTGCCATGTTGAAAGCAATACATGAAACTATTCTTTCAGGTTGTGATAAAATGAGACCTAAAATAAAAGATCAAGATGCCAGCTTAGATGCACAAAGCCAAATTTTGACTACTACCAAAGAACCAACAATACAGAAGATAACAGAAGAAATGGAACAATTAAATATCAAGACAGAAGACTCAATTGACCAACAAGTACAGCTGATGGAAAACCCAGACAAGGAAGTAACAACACTGAAAATGGAAATGACTTTTTATACAAATCAGAAGAAATTTGAAAAAGAAAAAGAACAGTTTGAATTGAAGACAAATATATCAGAGCAAACATGGGGGACTGGAATAACAGGGCGACAACTAAATGAATACAAATGGGCTAGTCCTTCCAGAAAACTGGCAATCAAATGGTCTCCTTTAATTCAACTAACATATATAAGAATGGAGATTTATTTGATAATTTAAAAATGCTGATATGGAAGCCTAGTTGGCAAAGGAAGAAAGCTAGAATAAGGTTGAAAAAAATTGGAAGTTTGATTCATTAGAGGGGATTTTATATTGTCAATTAGAGGGTTAAAGGGAGATGTTGAGATAAGGGGAATTTTGGTTATTAGATTTAAAATACATGGATTTGTCTAATATTGAAAAATTAGATCTAAAAGGGAAAATTAATTATCATGAATATGTTGGACTTATTGATTAACCCAGGCAATATAAATAATGGTTTTGATTTATTAAAGGGGATATTGTATTATTAAGTAGATGACTTAATATGGTGGAAAATAGATAACTTTTAAGAAATAGAATAAGATTATATTTAAATAGATAAAATGTGTATTTTGGATATTATAGTTTGTTATGAAGCGAGATAAGGGAAGTCTTGGCTACCCAAGGTCTGAAAATTATGAATATCAAAGGTTAAATTGGAATATTGATGAGAAATTAAAATTTATGTAAAAATTAATAACAGGATATGGATTGTTTATGAAGATTGAATGTAATTAAGATATATATATAAGCCAAAAATTTATTAATAAATGTAATAATGATGTTTTTATTGAATTGATATAATTAAAAATGTACTAGTTTGAATATGAGATAGTAAATGTTAAGGAAAAAAGAGAAGAAATATTTGATGTTGTAACCTGAGATTTGCACAAAAGATTTTGTTATTGAATTACTGATTAACCCAGTCACCACTTGCTTTTTAAATACTCAAATGTAAAATTGGAAAATTAATAAAATATTATAAAAAAAACCAAATTAGTGAATATCACCTTTGCCCCAAATAGTTCTTCACTTATACCAGCACCCATAGGAAGAGTGTCACAATCTTAATGGGATAAGTATTTTCTTTATGGCCAATGGGTACTCAAGGATCTAGTAAAAATGCTGATCAGGTACTAGCACCCAAAGAGTGGTGTGCCCAGGTTGTTCTACTTTTTGTCCCTGGCAAGAACATTATTCTGTTCTGGCCAAAGTCCAGGAGGCATCTGAAAAAAAATACACAAAATGAAAATCTGGACGTCCTGGGGGTTATTTAGTTGGGTAGGTACTTTGAGAAACTATATCCTGCAAGGGTTAGTTATTTTTCTTATTATCTGTAATATAATCTACTTTCTATTTCTGATTATTAAATGGGACACTGAAGGCCATCTCAAAACAATTCCCATAAACTAACTGGATTGTGTAGATTGTGAGACATATAAAATAATGTTTGTGGAATATTAGATTTATTTATACTAACATAAAGTGAGTGATGAGAGGTCCATCCTCGGCTGCTGTCTTGTGGCGAGCCACAGGGCTCAGTACTCTCTCCACTCCTTTTCAACATCTACATGAAGCTGCTGGATAAGATCATCTGTCACCATGGGCTGAGGTATCTGAAGTACACTGATGATACCCAACTCTATATTTTCACTGCTAGTGACCCAAGTGATGCCATGGCTGCCCTCTTGCGGTGCCTGGAGGCTGTGGGAGCCTGGATGGGAGACAACAGGCTTTGACTGAACCTTGGCAAGATCGAACTGCTTTGGATACATAGGGCCCTGAGATCCAAGACTTTTCATTTTTGACTCTGGATGAGGTGGCACTACCCCAGACAGATCCAGTTCTCAACTTGGGGTTTCTCCTGGACTTGTGAGTCCTGCTTAAAGAGCAGGTGACAGTTACAGCTAGGACAGCCTTTGCACAACTTCAGGTTGTGTGCCAGTTGTGGCCTTTCCTGGATCGGGAAACCCTGTACTCAGTCATTCAGGCTCTAGTAATCTTACAGCTGGACTATTGTAATGCACTCTACATGGGGCTATCCTTGAAAAGCATTCGGAAGCTACAGTTGGTGCAGAGTGCAGTGGCGCAGGCAGTTTTGGGGGCTCTGTGAATGGCCCATGTAACACCTGTGCTCCATGAGTTGCATTGGCTACCAGTTTGCTTCCAGGTGCAATTCAAGGTGTTGGTAATCATCTTTAAAGCCCTTTATGGCATGGGTCCAGGCTATTTGAGGGAGTGTCTCATTCCACTAGGATTGGCCTGTTCCACCCGTGCCGGCAGAGGAGGCATGCTGTGGGCCCTGTCAACTCAATTATTCTAGCTAGTGGGGTCCAGGAGAAGGGCCTTCTCTGCAATGGCACATGCCCTCTGGAATACCTTGCCCCCTGAAGTGAGGTCGGCCCCAATCCCCCTGACCTTTCATAAGGGCCTAAAAACCTGGCTCTGCCAGTTAGCTTGGAACACCAATGGGGGAGCATCACAGTGGAGGAGGTTGATCAAGTAACAACAGATCCCACCTCCTCTCTGTCCTGTCCCCGCCCTCCCCGTCTGTAATTGGATTTTGGCAGATTTTAGCATTAATATTAACTTATTTATAGCTCTAGCTCTAGCTCTAGCTCTAGCTCTAGCTCTAGCTCTAGCTCTAGCTCTAGCTCTAGCTCTAGATAGATAGATAGATAGATAGATAGATAGATAGATAGATAGATAGATAGATAGATAGATAGATAGATAGATAGATAGATTGTAAGTTGTAAGTTGCCCAGAGTTATCCTATAGAAAGATGGATGGTCAATAAATTTTATAAATAAAATAAAAATAAAAATATGGGAAATTGTGTAGGACTGTTTTAATTAATACTCTCTTTTCCTAAAAAGTCTCATTTCTATTTTTTAATTTTGCCTGAGCTCGACTTGACTATAACCAGTGTAATCAATAATTTTCCCCAATAGCAATAGCATGTAGACTTATATACTGCTCCATAGTACTTTACAGCACTCTCTGAGCAGTCTACAATGTCAGCATATTGCCCCTCCCCAACAATCTGGGTCCTCATTTTACCGACCTTGGAAGGATGAAAGGTTGAGTCAACCTTGAGCCCCATCAGGTTCGAACTGCAGTCTGTGGGCAGAGTTAGTCTGCAATACTGCATTCTAATCATGGCGCCACCAGAGTTTCCAAAGTATTATTTAAATAAATCCAGGTACAGGTAGTCCTCGACTTACAACCACAATTCAGCCCCAAATTTCTGCTGCTAAGCAAAACATTTGTTAAATGTTTTGCTCTATTTTATGATCTTCCTTGCCACGGTTGTTAAGTGAATTACAATAGTTGTTAAATTAGTCACATGGTTGTTAAGTGAATCTGGCTTCTCCATCGACTTTGCTCGTCAGAAGGTTGCAAAAGGGGATCACATGACTCTGGACACAGCAACAGTCACAAATACAGTCAGTTGCCAAGTGTCTGAATTTTGATCATGTGATCATGGGGATGCCGCAATGGTCGTAACTGTGAAAAACAGTAATAAAGTCACTTTTTTCAGTGCTGTTGTAACTGAATGGCCACTAAACAAATGTTCGTAAGTCTAGGACCACCTGTATAATTAAAAACATTCTATGTCTTCACATTTTTCAAACAGGTAAATGTGATTTTTGTTTTGCTATTCACTACATTGCTCACATTACCAAGAGGTTCAGAGACACATTTCTGCAGTCCATGGCGAGTAGCCAGTTTTTTATATTACAGTATGAAACTGATGTCATATTTAACAACCCTCAGCTTCCCAGTTCAGTTCCAGTGTTCATTTTAAACATTACGTGCTTAAACAAGATATGTATCATTTAGATCCTTCCTCACTTCTTTTGTAATGATTTAGTGACACTGAGCTACCCAGAAAGTTTTTACATTTGCCATAGCACCATACTATATAACATAATTACCACAATATTTCATAAGAGGCAAGGAGTTAAGTACAATATTGAAATCTGTGACACCATTACAATGCAAACATCACTCGTTACATACTTGCCTATGATGCTACAATACAAGTAAAAAGGGTGGAGTTTCCACTGTGATATGACACATGTTGTCACTATGGTATCATAATGACTGGTTGTGGATGCCTATGATTATTATTGTACCAAATCTATGTTCTCTATCTATGTTTGTTGCTGTAATACTATAGAAGAAAAGGGTAGGCAATAAAGTAGAGGGAGGAAACCAAGTGTCAGAAAAAATGAACTTCATGGAACCCTTCCTTGGTTTGCATTGATCAATATTTTCTGTAAAAAAGAAAAGAATAAAAGCCTGATTCAAATAAAGTGATATATGATCTAGCCTTCTCATTCAATATTTTGATAAGCTCCAAAACAAATATATGAAATAAACATAAGTAAAGTCCCAACCTTTTCTTGCAACTGCTGTATCTGCATTTTATGTTGCTGTTTACTGGCCTGCATTTGGGCTTCTACAGTGGACATTTCTTGTTTCTGTGTCTGCAGTTGCTCTTTCCACTTATTCTCAGTAGTGATGGTCCTTGCCTTCTCAGAAGCAAATTCCTTGAAGAAATGACATATATAAGAAGACTGTTTTGGGGGATCTTGAACATATAATGTATAAGCTTGTCAGGCAGCACCATCAACTATTTGTAATCAAAATAATGATTAGAATTCAAGAAAACCCCTTTTCAGAGCAATGTATAGGTAAGCCTTTTTTATTACATATTATCATCAACCAGATATTCAAAACAAGAGCAATTATCTCTCTCCCTCTCACAGACACATACAGTATATACACATTCCTCCTTCCAGGACTATATCACAAACATCTAATGAAACAATCCATGATCCATGCATGTTTGTCTTTTTAGTGTTGCAATGTATTATAGATTGTAATGATCTATGTAATTGTTACATTCAGGCATATACAAAGACATGATATAAAACAAAACGAAAAAAGTCACCAATTCTTAATGTTCCATGATTACTGATTACTGACATAATAGCCAGTTAACTGAAATCCAGACTTGGTGGGTGTATTTTTGGCCTATCTGAAAAGCTATTGATTGCATAACTCATCATATATATAAAGCAGAGGTTGCAAGATTCATGATCATCATCATCATCATAGTTGGAAGGAACCTTGGAGGTCTTCTAGTCCAATCCCCTGCTCAAGCAGGAAATCCTACATCATTTCAGACAAATGGATGTCCAGTCTCTTCTTAAAAGCCTCCAGTGATAGAGTATCCACAACTTCTGAAGGCAAGTTGTTCCACTGGTTGATTGTTCTCATTGTCAGGAAAATTCTGTTTAATTCTAGGTTGTTCTCTCCTTGGTTAGTTTCCATCCATCGCTTCTTGTCTTGCCTTCCGGTGCTTTGGAGAATAAATTGACCCCCTCTTTTTTGTGGCAGCTCCTCAAATATTGGAACACTGCTATCATGTCTTCCCTAGTTCTTCTTTTCATTAGACTAGACATACCTAATTCCTGCTACTGTTCTTCATGTTTTAGTCTCCATGCCTTTAATCGTCTTAGTTGTTTTTAATATGCCATTGAGATAGACTAAAATCCCTTTGTATAGGTGTTCATGCAACATCTTGTTTATCAGCTGCATAAATACAGCAGGGGCACCCTGCAGTCCAAACGGGAGGACTTGGAATTGGAAACACCCTAAGAGGCAATTAAAAGTCATTTTCCATTCGTCACCTTCCTTGAGTCTAACACGGTAGTATGCCTCCCATTTGGTAAATATCCTTCTATTTGCCAAATGGGCTAGCATGTCCTTCATCAGGGGAAGAGGGTAGATGCTCCCCATGCAAACAGCATTCAGCCCACAATAGTCCATGAATTGACAAAGATAGCCATGCTTTTTTCCCCTGAATAGCACTGAAGCAGTCACTCTTGGCCAGGAAGGTTGTATGAAGCTGTGCTTCAGGTTTTTGTCTATGAATGCCTGCAGTTCCTCTAATTCTCTAGGGGTCATCGAGTATAGTTTAGGTTTAGGCAACTTAGCCTCCAGCAGAATCTTTATGGAGCAGTCAGTAGGTTGGTGGGGTGGAAGCATGTCTGAGCCCTTTTCACCAAAAATGTCCCATAAATCCCAATATTCTCTAGGGACCCAGGGATTGTCTTTGGGGCACTCTTTTGTTCTGGCTCCTACCTCCCTTCTTGGCTTCACCTGTGATAGCTTAGGGGCAGGGGCCTCAGGTTCTTTTCCAGTATCCCTTTTGGGCTAGCCCGCTGAATCTTTAACAACTTCCTCCTCCAGTTTACATTCCACTTCAGTAGCCATGCCAAACCTAGCTGAGGGGCCTCTCCATGCCAGGCACCACAATAAAGCTCAAAGTCTCTGTGTGCGACCCCCACTCTCATTTCTACTGGCTCGGTGATGAACATTGCTGGTTCCCTCCAGCTACTGAGCCATCCAGCTGGCAAAAAGCTATGAGCACTTTAAGCTGCCTGAGTTTCAAGCCTAGTTTTTCAACTAAGGCAGGGTTGAGAAGGCATTGGGTGCAAGCCAAGTCCAGGAGGGCTACCAGGTTCCTTTGGTGCCCCAAGGATGGAACTACCAGCTCTATAGGATGGTCACTAGGATCATTGGGCAACTTACCAAGGGGTCATCATCAGAGTTGGTATCACTCTCCATCAGACCATCAGTTGGGACAGAGTTCTCTTGTCATCCTTGGGGGATGGGATGAATTCAGCGACTTCCACTCCCTCCAAGGCCATCTCTTGGGATCTCTGAGACTGCTTTGCCAACTTCTTAGAAGGTCTCAGGGCTGTCTTCTGAGCTGGGCACAGGGCTCAGCACTCAGCAGCTCACTGTCCCTCCTTCCTGCACTTAAACAGCCAATGGAGCCAGAGCATAGGCTCTGTTCACAGGCCGGTGGCTTCAGGGCTTCCTTTTTTTCCAGAAGAGATCTCTGCCACACACAGCCAGGCTGGTTCCTCGAATGAGCCAGGTCAATTTTGACTACCTCAGCCAGAACATACCAGGCATAGAGGGGGGGCACTCCTGGAGATGCAGGTGTTGCAGACATCGTCATTCATCTCATCCTGGAAATACTCAATTAGCACGTCTTGTAACCAATCGGTCAGCCGGCATGCCAGGTTTCGGAATTCTTGAGGCTACTGATCAGCAGCCCTGGTTTATGGTCTTCATTCTGGTTCTGGCATTGCGGTTGGCCAGGGGATCTTCAAAGTATTTTTGCAGGACCCCCATGAAGTGATCAAAATTCTGCAGCTTTGAGGCATCATCGTTGTGGAGGGTGACCATCCACTATATTGTGTCCAGATCACAGTAAGTTATAATTTTAGCCAAATTCATCTCATATAATCATAGGGTTGGAGGTCTTCTAGTCCAACCCCCCTGCCCAATGCAAGAGTCCTTATACTATCTTGGACAAATAGTTGCCCAATATTTTCTTGAAAACCTCCAGCGATTGGGAGCACCCACAATTCTGGGAGGCAAGCTATTCCAATACTTAAGAATTTTCATTGTCAGGAAATTCCTCCTTATTTCCAGGTTAGATCTCCGTCTGATGAGCTTCCACTCATTATTTCTTCTCCAACCCTCAGGTGGTATGGAGAACAAATTAGCACACTCTTCCCTGTGGCAGACCTTCAAGTATTGGAAGACTGCTATCATGTCTCCCCTCAGGCTTCTCTTCATTAAGTTAAACATAGCCATTCCTCATAGTATTTAGCCTCCAGACCTCTTATCATCTTTCTTGCTCTTCTCTGCCCTCTTTCTAGGGCCTCAGCATGTTTTTGTATTGTGGTGACCAGAACTGGATGCAGTATTCCAAACTTTGCCTCATCAGGGTGGTACAGTGTAGTACTATCACTTTCCATGATCTTAAAGATTCTGTTGATGCAGCCTAGGATTGCATTGGCTTTTTTGATACTGCAGCACATTGCTGACTCATATTTTACTGGTGGTAGACTATGACACCTAGATCCCTTTCACAGGCACTAATGTTGAGCCCGGTACTGTCTATTCTATACCTATGCACCTGTTTTTTCCTATATAAATGTGGGATCTTACTTTTCCCACCACTGAACTGCATCTTGTTGGATAGGGCCCAACACTCAAATCTATCAAGATCCTTCTGAATCCTGAGTCTATCTTCCAAAGTGTTAGCCATTCTCCCCAGCTTAGTGTCATCTGCAAATTTGATGAGCACCCTTTTAATTTCCTCATCTAAGTTGGAGAGCACTAGACCCAAGAAAGAACCTTGAGGTATCCCACATGCTTCCCTCCACACAGATTAGTTCTACTGAGGAACTACAAACTACATAGATGTAAGATCCACTCACAATCATGTAAAAAAGACAAACTAAATTTTCTTAATTTTGCTTAAACAGAAGGCACAGCTTTTAGCAATAGCAATAGCAATAGCACTTATATACTGTTTCATAGAGCTTTACAGCCCTAAGGGGTTTACAGAGTCAGTATATTGCCCCCAACCATCTGGGTCTTCATTTTACTGACTTCAGAAGGATGGAATGCTGAGTCAACCTTGAGCCGGTCAGGATTGAACTCCTGGAAGTGAGCAGAGTTAATCTGCAATATTGCATTCTAACCACTGTACCAGCACAGCTTTAACAGTAAGAGCTGTTCAGCATCTAAAATGTTTGCCTTGCAGGCACTGCTGAAAGTGTTCAAAGAGAAGCCTGAGGGAAATCACAGTCAGCATCCTGTGCTGCAGATTCCTACACCCTGTTGAGAAATTAGCTTGTTGCTCTATTTCGGTTGATGTGTCATATTCATAACCCATAATCTACTTTTTTCCTGCTAAATTCAGCATATAAAATTCAGCATTCAAAATAATGCATACATTATTCATATTTCTCAGCAACTAAGCATTATAACTTTGTCAGACAAAAAAGGCTCTCACTAAAAAAATCTACATTTTCTTATTTTTCATAATGCTTATCATACCGTTGAGAAATAGTCTAAGCTGAATCCAGAAATACCAGAGTTCACCGAAAGGAAGGTTCAAGAAAAATTAGAAGATATTTTAGCGACTGTAGGGAAGTGTATCATCTGCAATTATGCTATTAATATCCTCAATGCTGAATTGTGGCATATTACTGATATTTTATTAACATTAATAGTCAAATAGTACAGCTTTGTTCATGCAGTCAGGTTCGATGCCATACTCATATCTATACAGAAAGCTAAATGTGAATATTTGGGGTACTGTCAATACTGATTTGCACTTTCACCTATATTCTGCTCCAGTGTTCCAATCAAAGGACACATTGAGCAGATGGACTAGCATAGCTTGTTGGTTCCCATAACAAAATTAACAGAAGTGATTGGTGGACGTAATGGACTGGGAAAGTGGGGAATTAACTATGCTAGCTTTTGTGTTGGAAACCCAGAGCTGGTTTCACTTTTTCTGTGCCAATATGGTTTATTCAGTAAAGTTTATAGTCTTGGTAAAATAATGTCCCAGGAGTTTCTTTTTCTGGATCTGCCATCTGGACAGTTGACAGGTACTTTAAAGCAAATAAAACAAGTGCTATTAATTAAAATGAAAAATGCTCACAATATAGTACAGATTATGTAGAGAAATGAAATACCAAAAGTAATAAGAAGTTTATTTCTAATTAACTTCTACTTAACTTAGTCTATTTAAAATTCATTTTCTGTAGTCTTCAAGCAACAAAATCCTACCTTTGTAAGTGCGTTCAGTTTAGTTTTTACAGCAGTTGCATTTTCATGTTCCATAGCAAGTTGCTTTTCTTTGTCTTCTAGTTGCCGTTTTAGAATAGCAATGGGGTCACCTTTCTGAGTTGCCTAGAACAAGAATTGATGAAAAGTAAAAAAAAAAAAATTAGATCTTAATTCAAATGCTTCAAAACAATGTATTTTACCCATGTTCCAAGGTACTTTCTGTTCCATGATCTCACTGGTATAGATCTTTTATAAAAAAATAAAAATAAAAATACATTTCCTCTAGCTGTCAGCCTCTCCTCTCCTTTTACTCTTCCCTGTCATTAATAGTTTATGTGGTGCAGGAACCATTGAAATCTAAAATCTAAAAGGGCAATTTCCTCCTTACTTTCCTATTCTTCCTTTCATATCTGTTTTTTCTCTCGATCTTTGTTCTTCCCCACCTTGTAGCCTCATTTTTTCCCCTTCAGTTCCCCTCTATGTAAAAATGTGAATTATCTTGGTTCAAGGAGCATTTTATTTCACTTATTCCTCGATAAAATATATAAGACAAACAAGAGCCTTTGGCTGGGCCATGGCTATATCTGCACTCCAAAAGATTAGATCATGAACCTTAAATTAAGATTAATCTTAAATTAACATAAATTTTAATGTAATATTAATTTTATTGATTACCATCCTTTCCTTTGATTTTTTTCTTCCCACTCATACTTCAGTATATTTTGTACAATGTTAGTAAAGAAAGTTTCCCACCACAAAAAAAAAGTTTTCTGATTTTCTGTAAGAGAAACACAGGATTTACTGGCATTGCTGAAAAGAAAGGAATGTAAGGACCTGCCTCCGTTTCTCTACCAAGAAAGCAGAACTCTTGAAACTGGCATCATTTCAAAAGGAATTTTTATTGGCAGGTACAGAAAGAAGGAAAGCTAGGCAGGATCTGAGGGCTTCCCACCCAAATCAATAGGTTAAACCTGCAAAATAATAACCCCACCCCAACTATCCACCAGGCCAATCCATGGGTGACATCGAGCTGTGGGAAACGAACTGATAAGACGCCTCTCTCAAGGTTGTTAGGTCTTCGCCGTTTCCTCCCTCTGCACTGAGATAAGGCAGATGGCCCCGAGGCATTCCTTTCACACCCCATAGAGGATACATCAAAGCAGACAGAGAGAGCATTCTACATGCACTACAAAGCCCCCTGGTCTCCCCCCCCAGGAGAATGGCAGAACCCGAACAGCTTAACCACAGAGAACATGAGTAATTAATAATTGAGGGTTCTGACATGCCGCCCCCCTTGAAAAATGAGAGATCCACCTGGAGACAGAGAAAATAATAAAGGGGAAAGAGTTGAAACAATGTTAGTCAGGCTTATCCAGATAACAGGTGTAGAACCTTTTCAGCAATCTAGGGGCCCTGACATGTTTCTTACATACCCACTGATTTTGGGATGGTGGGAGGTCTTTCCATGCTACCAAATCTTGGGTCGACCCATGATGTTTTCTGGAATCTAATATTTCTTTAATTTCAAAATGTTGCTCCCCTTCCACCATAATGGGTTGTCGGGGGGGGGAGAGAGCTTCTGCTGGCCTTAAGGGAGAGGTTAGCTCCCGTTTAAGCAGGCTGCAGTGAAATACAGGGTGAACTTGTCTTAATGGTTTTGGGAGTCCCACTTCAACTGGTAGTGGGCTAATTATGTGTTTTATGGGAAAGGGTCCTATGAATTTTGGCCTCAGCTTTTTTGAGGACTGCAAGGACTTTAAGAATTTGGTTGAGAATTTGGTTTTCTCCTATTTTGAATGGTTTAGGTTCCATTCGTCTTTTATTTGCCTGTGCTTTATAAGATTCCCTTGCCTCATCCAAAGCTTTTCTAACCACAGGTCAGGTGTTTTGCAGCTGTTTAATCCACTCCTTCAAGGAGGGGATGGTGGGTTCATTAACAGGTAACTCAGGCATCGGGTTAAAACTTTGTCCTGTCGCCACTTGGAACAGGGTGTAACCAGTACTTGAATGCACTGTGTTGTTGTAAGCGACTTCTGCAAAAGGCAACAGCTCAATCCAATTGTCTTGTTAGTAATTTATGAAGCACCTCAGGTACTGCTCTAGTACTGAGTTTGAACGTTCTATCCCACCATTCGTTTGCGGATGATGATTAGATGACAGGTGCCAAATAGTTCCAAAAAGGCTCTCCAGAACTCTGAAGTAAACTGGACCCCCCTGTCTGATATAATGCATTGTGGGGCCCCATGCAGCCAGTAGATATGCAGTACAAACAATTTGGCCAAGGCTTTAGTGATGGGAATTTTCTGGCAGGGTATGAAGTGGACCTGTTTGGAGAATAGGTCCGTCACTACCCAAATGACAGCGTTTCCTGCACTCTTTAGCAATTCTACTATAAAATCCATAGAGATCTCTCTCCAGGGTGCTGAAGGGCTGGCAACTGCTTGTAATAAGCCCGGCATTTTCCCCTGTTTCTGCTTGGCTGCTGCACATATGGGGCAGCTAGCCCCATAGCTTTCAATGTTCTTTTTTATAGATGGCAACCAGAACTGCCTTTTGGTCAGATGGAAAGTTTTCACAAACCCGAAATGCCCAGCCACCTTCAAGTTGTGGCAAAATTGCATGATTTCTATTCTCTGTGTTTTTGGCACATATAATTTTTCTCCTACCCATGGCAGTTCGTCCCTTATCGAGCAAAGGTTTTTAAGGAACCATTTGTCCTTTTCTAATGCTTGTCTAAACTCAGTCCCTGATTTGTTGTTCAGAGGTGATTTTTTTTTCTAGGGTTTTCCTTTTTGTGGGTCGGGGCCTCCATTTTTCTGCTCGCTGGCATCAGTTTCTTTGCCTGAGCTCTCGTGCTTACAGGGGCTGCTAATTGTTTTGGAGTCATCAAGGGTTTGATTAGGTCAAATTTTACGCTATTATACTGCGACATCCTTGATAAGGCATCGGCTAAAAAGTTCTTCCTCCCAGAGATGTACTTAATGGAGAAATTAAACTGGTGGAAATGCTGGGACCACCGAGTTTGTTTTGGGGATAACTTCCTTGGGGTTTTCAGTGCTTCAAGGTTTTTGTGATCAGTCCACACCTAAAAGGGGATTTTGCTCCCCTCCAAGTGAGTAGAGCCCAGCGCACTGTGTATGCCTCCTTCTCCCAGACTGCCCACCTCTGTTCAGTTTCAGTGAGCTTTCTGGAGGTATACGCGCAGGGTTGCAACTTCCCTTCCTGATTCTCTTGGAGTAGTACTGCCCCCACCGCTAGATCACTAGCATCTGCCTGAATGACAAATGGCTTCTCCGGGTCCAGGTATTTTAACACCAGCTCAGCAGAAAAAAAGTCTCTTTTAGTTTCTCAAAAGCTGCTTGGCACTCCATAGTCCATTTCAATGGCTGACTGGGTTTTGGCTTATCCACTCCCTTCATCTTTAGTAGGTTAGTGATGGGGAGGGCAATCTGAGTGAAAGAGGGAATAAACTGTAGAAGTTCGTGAATCCAAGTAAGCTTTGAATTGCTTCTTTGTGCGAGGTGGCGCCCACTCTAGTACTGCTCGTACCTTCTCCAGATCCATCTCCATTCCCTGGTGGGAAATCCTGTAGCCCAAGTAATCAATTTTTCCTTGTGGAACTCACACTTTGAAAATTTGGCATAGAGGCATGCTGCATGGAACTTATTTAAGACCGCCTTGACCAATATGACATGCTCCTCCTTTGTCTCTGTAAATATTAGGATATCATCCAAATTTATTTATTTATTTATTTATTTATTTATATTTAAATTTATATGCCGCCCTTCTCCCCATGGGACTCAGGGCGGCTCACAGCATATTAAAACATTGTACAAAAAAATTTTTCCCCTGCTAAAAACCAATTAAAATCCAAATATTAGTAGCTGTGGCTCTTTAAAATTGTTTAAAAATTGTCCCTATTTAAAACTCACCTTAGGTCAGGCCCGCTTGTTGAAAAAGCCATGTCTTGAGGGCGCGGCGGAAGGTTAAGAGATCCGGAATCGTCCGGATCTCGGGGGGTAGTTCGTTCCAG